CTGCAGCAGCTCGCAGCAGACTACCAGACTAGAGAAATGGAGGTGAGGTGGTCTTGTGTGCATCAGGGGCGAGTCAGGGCGAGTCAAAGCGTGACAGCACACCTCCCTTGCAAGCAGACTAATTCAGAACGTCCACGTTTTCTGGCGGTACCCACTTCGGCATGCATAACTAGCCCGAAAGGCCAGCGATGTCGAGTGGGGAGCTCCGGGCTGCTGATGCACCTGGCGTCGACCAGGGTGCCTGGAACGAGCAGAGGCGTCACTATACATACATGCATTCGGTAGTATGGGGTGAATAGCGTCTAGGCGATTTGGACGCCATTATACATACTACCCGTTCCCGCCCTCCGTCATTCTTCAATTCCATACCGCAGTAATTCTCCGACTTTAACACTCGCTCTCTGTCGATCGACGCACATCTTCGCCATGTCTAGCCATCCACGATACTACTTCTCTCTGCCTACTGAGGCGCCTGCACGATCTCGCTCAGCAAGCCGGCGGCCACCTCTAACACCATCAACCGTTTCTTCGCCATGTCTCACCACACTTGTGCCTGTAACCTCTCGACGCGACTCTGGAACATCAACATCCGGTAGCCCGACCAAGGCCTCCATTCTCCTGGCCAAGGTTGCTTCATCGCCTACTACACCTCGAGGCGAGACGCCACCTGGAAGCCCGATGCTCACTCCACGATCGAGGTTGCAGTCGGAACCGGCCTACACTTCTGAGAGGCCCTCCATGTCAAGAACCGAGAGTGACCGCTACGTCCGCCAATACAGGCAGCAGGGTAAGCACTGAGCATGTCAGATTGAAGCAGCACCATACTAACATTCTTCCAGACGGCTACATCAGCTTTCCTGACTTTGAGAAGTTCTGCCAGAACCAGAACCCATATGGTCAGCAAGACCGATCTGACGTCAAGACATGATCGGACATGCATCAGTCTTTGATGTCATGCAACAAAGACGTCTCTATCAACAACACCAGCCATACCACCCCTACACCTACAAGACTCACGTTCTCTTCTATGAGCAACTGTACAGTACTCTGTATCAAGTCGCCGCAAGCTGATGGTCTCCAATCTGGAAACTGCACGCTGTTTGGAGGGCATTCACCTAGCCGTCGCAACGTCTCTTCTGTCACGGGGAACAGGAATGGGTACGGGTCGGGTCAACGGATCTACATCACGACAATGAATGTCGAGATGTAAAGAGGAGGAAGGAAATCGTTACAGGATGTATATCCATATTTTTCGCGATGCTGGACGCAGTAACTCGTCTGCGATGATGATCGCATTGATGACGTTCGCTGACGGTGGCTGGAGAAGACGCGAAGATGTAACTGGAATTTGGACGGGGTGCTAGCGTGTGCGATGGGTAGTTAGTCTGTCCGCCACAGCTGAATGAACTGCGTAGAACCGCAGCAATGTAACATATGTACATTACTTGACAGTGCGGATTGTTGGCGTGTGAATGAAGTGATGCAAGTGATGGTGGTTTCGCAGACGTACCTAGGTAGAGACGCGAGACTGGAGTTGCGTGGCCATGGAGTCGCTTCAACACCATCTTCTACCCAAACTATTGCCACGACCATATCATATCATGCGCATCTCGCAGTTGCCGCGCCTTCCTGCTATTATACAGCCACTATGGTGCAGCAAAGGCAAGCATCGCATGCGCCACAGATGGCGACTCGAGAGACCCCAAAGTGCAGCATCACCGTTGCTATGTTGCCCGCAATGCATCCGACCGCGATCAGCATACCCTACTTCTGTATCCATTCGCTGCTGATCTTTCCGTGATGTGCACTGGTTGTTGCTGCTGAGCGCCGCATTCGATTTTAGGCTTGGCACACGTGATGCGCGGCGCTACTGGGCTCGCTTAAGCGATTTCGAACACCACCAATTTGCGAGTTCTCAGTCTCCGACATCGACAGCGACAACCACCCTTCCACGACCGACAACAAGACTCGCAATCATGGCTGTCGGCAAGAACAAGCGTCTTTCAAAGGGAAAGAAGGGTCTCAAGAAGAAGACCGACACCTTCGCGAAGAAGGACTGGTACAACATCAAGGCGCCAGGAACTTTCGCCGTCCGAGAGTAAGAATTCCCGCTGCTCCACACGGGGACTCTATGCTTACTCTTCGCTCTCTGCAGTGTCGGAAAGACCCTCGTCAACCGCACTACCGGTCTCAAGAACGCCAACGACGCTCTGAAGGGCCGGATATTCGAGGTCTCGCTCGCCGATCTCCAGAAGGATGAGGACCACGCTTTCCGCAAGGTCAAGCTCCGCGTCGACGAGGTCCAGGGCAAGAACTGCCTGACCAACTTCCACGGTCTCGACTTCACCTCCGACAAGCTCCGCTCCCTCGTCCGCAAGTGGCAAACCCTCATCGAGGCCAACGTCGTTGTCAAGACCACCGACGACTACCTCCTCCGCCTCTTCTGCATCGCCTTCACCAAGCGCCGACCGAACCAGGTCAAGAAGACCACATACGCCCAGTCGTCCCAGATCAGGGCCATCCGCAAGAAGATGGTTGAGATCATGGCCCGCGACGCCAGCTCGTGCACCCTCGCCCAGCTCACCCAGAAGCTCATCCCCGAGGTCATCGGTCGCGAGATCGAGAAGGCCACCCAGGGCATCTACCCCCTCCAGAACGTATGTGGTTGCATGGACAATGGAGGATGACAGGCTAACATGGCACAGGTCCACGTCCGAAAGGTCAAGCTCCTCAAGGCGCCCAAGTTCGACCTTGGTGCCCTCCTCGGTCTCCACGGCGAGTCAAGCCAGGACGACTCTGGCCAGAAGGTTGAGCGCGAGTTCAAGGAGACCGTCCTTGAAGAGGTATAAGGTCTTGTTGGATAGGCAAGGGGTTCTTGGGTCTTTTCAACTTACCGCGGCATGATATCGGCATTCCAAAGGTGTTTGTGTTTACAATGAAAGATAAACATGCCCTTGATGCGATCCCGCGGCAGTGATGGCGTGCATGGGGTACGATCCGCATCTGGTGTTAACAGGTCATGCGGGAAAAGTATCATGGAAATGACATTGATGAGTTCCAATTCAGTACTGTGCAATGATGTGACTGGGCATTGTTGTGATAAAATGATGTCAGGCGAGATTGTCGAGGATAGAGGGGATCTTATGACGATCGTGTTCATGTCGATGGTGCGTGCGCTGTTGCCCTCTTGGAATTGCGTATTGCTATGCAAGGGCCGTCGTGAAGGTAGCGACTCCAAGTGAACATACGTTGTGAGTAGTACAAGCATGTAGCAGTAGGTCGATTGGTGCGATTGTAAGGTTAGAAAGAGGTGTAGATTTCCATGGTTTGGAAAGAGCGACCCAGAAGTGACTTTCGCACAACAATAGCCTGTGCCCGACGCTTTCGTTTGAGTACACGATCGAAACCCTGCTGTTGGCATGAGCAAAGAGAAACGTAGCTTCAAGTGAGCATGTTCATGCGCAATGCAAGTGTATTGGTGTAGAATAGTAGTGTTGTGGGGGTGCAGAGGTATCTGGAAAGAGCGACGTAGAAGGGGCTTTCGCGCGACCATAATCCGCACACACTTAACTTTTAATTATATAATCGCAACCCTGCTGTTAGTATAAGTAAAAAGAGACGTAGCTTCGAGTAAGCACGTTCACGCGCAATGCGAGTGGGTATTGTAGGGGGAAGAGTCTACGTCTAGGTCTACAAAGATGCGGCTATCGCACGCTGTGTACGCACACACCTTCCCGCACTTTTACAGCCACATCTACGCGCCCTCCGCATGCATTCTAGCCCAGAAAAAAAAATCTTTTGGCAAAAAAAAGGAGTTGCCTTCCGCCAGAATTGAACTGACGACCTCGTCATCACGTGACGTCCCTTTCGGGACTAACTCGATCCAAGTCAGATCTAGCGTTACTAGTGACGCGCTCTACCACTGAGCTAGGAAGGCTGTGAAGCTCTTTGCTTTGATGAAAGAGTGTGAAACTAGATGATCAATAATGTCATTGCAGATGGACAGCTAATTATAGCGGCTTAATATTCACCAGAATGAAGCGTCTGTGTGGGGCGGGGCCTGCACACGTCACGAGGAATAAGCGAGTCCGGAAGACAACTTGTCGGCGAACCTTGCACGTCCGACCACCATGCACAACAGCATCCGAATAACCCTCCCTCCGATGTACCCCCTAACCATCTCACAACCCCCATTCCATAAACTTCGATCTGCAACCCAAACTCTGATAAACAGTGTCACGCCGAAGCGGACCTTGCCGAACCTCAATCCTGCGGTGTGCGAGCATGCCAATGCCAATGCGACATTGAATACAAATGACCTACATACGACGCAAAATCGAAGCGTCTCGACTTCCAAGGCCGCGCTGATCGTTATGAGATGATGTGGCCTTGCGCCGTCTTGTATTTCGCGTAGTTTGCGCGGAAGCGGGTAAGAGGACAAGTTCGTGGTTGCTGATTCAGATTTCGACGTTGGTTCAATCGTAGAAATGTGCCTTCACCGCTACTTTGACGAGAGGTGGGGAGACGTCAGCCAGCGTTACTTCGCGACAGCGAACGCGTGCAGGTACGAGAGTATGGGCATCGGGATCGATCGTGGGTAGCTGGGTTAGGAAGGGTGGAGAGTTTGGGGAGGGATGTGGAGTAGTGGGTGGAGATGTTGGGTTGGGCTGGGGTGAGAATGTCAGACTAGGTGGATTGCATAGGCGCTGCATGGGTCGGATAGAGTAGTTCTCATCGTCGATGGTGATCGTGGGTCGTGGTTGCTACCTGGATGCTTGCCTGCTCTGACTGTACGCACTTCACGGTCCGATACATGTCGTTGTTGTCTGACCGGCCCGTGCCACGGTCAATACTTACGGGCATATACTATCGCGGCTCCGCAAAGCCTTCCATACCATAGAGTTCTCTGGATACCGATGTGTGTATTACGCGGCTAGTATCTACACCCCGATGCTGGTCATGCACGCACGTTGGCTCCGGTGAAAGCCCCAGTATCAACGCTAACCAATCCTCCGCACAACCTTGCTAGCAGGCAACCCTTCCCTTCTCCGTATCCTGACCCGGATGTCTCCCTTGGGAACCTTTATTCCCGCTCCATCAACCGCTTTGGGAAGCACCCACTTGGCGTCCTTCCGCTTGGCATCTTCTTTCTCCCTGCTCGCTTCCTCTTTAGCGGCTTTTTGCTCTGCAGTAGGCGCCTCGGCACCGAATGACGCTTCGTTCCCTGCTTCTTGGATGTGGTCGAAGAAGCTCTTCTTTGGCGCAGGTGAAATTTCCCAGAGTTGGGTGATGCCGGACACGATGGAGATGATGAGGTTGGTTTTGTAGGATTGCGAGATATCGGTGGCCGAAACGATGGATGATGATGCTGGAGTATCCACGGACCGGTCGGGCTTGAAGGTTCGTGGTGAGATGTGATGTGTTGGTGATGAGTTTATGAGAGATCGAGAGAGGCCCAAGTCGACGTACGAGCCTGCTTCTAGCTCCCATTGCTCCGTGTCGTCCTTTAGATGAAGTGATTTTTGGACTTTATATGTGCTGATAGAGCAGTTGTATAGTCGCCGAGCTTCGTTGATACATGAGCGAAGATAAGGTAGCGAGGTCGGTGTAAGCACTTCCTTCACTGACCCGTAGCGTATCTCTGGTGGTGCTGGGAAAGATGGATGTATCGACGGAGGCTGTATGGCTTGAGCCCATGCTTTGGATTCTGCTTTGATCCTCTCAAGAGGCGAATCTTGTGAAGCCTTAGCGCTTTCCGCCTTGGATGAAGAGTAGATGTGTACGACCGTCCAGAATACGATTGGCATGACCTCTGAGTAGATATCGTGAACCACGTGAAGCCCGATCGAAGCTCGTAGTTCGGCTGGTAGTTCATGCTTGGTGAAGAGTTCGTTCAACTTCATAAGAGGGGTAACTACATCGGCATCTGTGTCTTCTTCCCCGCTCACGCTCTCATCGTCGTCTGGCACCCTCCTCACTGGTGGATTCGACAAGTCTTCAAATTGCTTTGCAAAGTTTCTCAGTAATCTCTTCCGTGCAAGAGCTGCTCCTGGTAGTCCCTGGATAGGTGCTAGTCGCGGCAATCCGAGAGCGAGAGCCCAAAATCGTTCGTTGCAGCTCGCCAGATCGGTGGCAAGGAGTTGATAGGACTCTGTAAACTGTGCTCCGACAATCGGGGGTAGAATAGCATTGCAGCAGAACTCATTGAGGAGTGTGAAGAGATCGCATTCGGCTTCCGAGGTTCCGTCCGTAAGTTCCACGTTTGAGACACGCTCCCATTGCATTTGATCGACGATCGATGAGTTGAATGTGACGAGATCCGGAAGCGATTCGGTCAAGATGCGCAGCGATGCTTTAATCAAGTTGTCTCTGGCTGCTTCGTCGTATAGTTCCGTTTTGACAACCTGGTTGATCTCATTTTGAAGCTCGAGATAATGACTTTCCATGACTTTCGGTAGGCTGAAGGCGTTTCGGAGGATAGCTGGTTGGTTGTTGTCTGTCAGCTCCAGGTTGTTCCAGTTGTTGTAGAGCTGGTCAAGCAGGGATTCCGATAACAAGACGTTGTGTTTGGTTCCAGCAGCTTTGTACGCCACTATGCTTGCGGTTGCAGAGTCACTGTCTTCGGTCAGATAGATCCACGTACGCTGTGGGCACACCTACCGAATGCTGGCTAACCACTCCTCGCCTCCAAATGCGATGCTCGAGAGGTGGCGTACCCCGGGTATCCAGTATGGCAACGATTGTACCCGTCCCTTCCCATCTTGGCTTTTGGTAACTGTTCCTGGGCTTGAAAGTAGCCTTGTCGGTAGTAACACAAAGACTGCTGAAATTGCAAATGCAGGTAGCAGATCGAACCAGGAAAAGTCTTCGGGTATAGAGTTCTGCAAAGTTTGAACGAATCCAAAGTACCAGGCTAGAGCGAGTATGAACGGGCTGAATAGTGTGGTGTAGCATAATGGTAGAAACAACGTCCTTATAACGCTGTTCGAGGCATACACGCTCAGGAACAGAGTCCTGAGGGAACCCATACTGGCGGTGACGAAACCAACAATTCAGGGCCGTGCTCGGCGATGACTCTACCCCGAATGACGAAAACGGAAAATGTCCAGAGTCCGGTGAGGTCGTGCGGACAACTGCAGAGGGAGTGTCGGGCGCGGTGAAGTCGTGAATAAGAATCGAATGATGTCCCCAGCCTCACCCCATGAGGCTCTTGCTCGGCGAGCTCAGGGCTTTGAAGTCGCAAACAGTCGATAAAGACGGCGATAACCGTTTTGAGGGACTCGGGAACCTTGCAGGGTGTGATTCGATGCGGCTGAACGTGATGTTCTGTAGGCCACGGTAACATTCAATGCAGGCACTAGACCGTAGATCCCTGCTTAGCTCGCTTATTGAAGGACCCCTCAGCCCTATCACGATGCCGTTAGACAGAGATTTTGCAACATCGCGGTGTAAGACGAGTGCTTAGTTATCAGCACTGACAATGTACGTTGCTCAGCCCTCTAGCTGGTCTGAAGTGTGGCATTGCACGCCCTTTGTCGGCCGAGACGATACCGCTCTTTCCATCAGCGCCCTTTCCATTTGCAAAATGACTAATTCTGCTCCAGTCATTCAAACCAGCGTTGAACTTCAATAGGTATATACAGAACTTTGTGTATAGTTGCGAGATAAGTCTTAGCTGACAAAGTCTGCTAAGGTTTATCAAACTCCAAGCCCTACCAATCTCCACTTCCAAACTCACAAAGATGGCATCCTCCCGCATCCCCACCACCCTAAACTTCATAACGGGAAACCAAAACAAGCTCGCCGAAGTTCAAGCCATTCTATCCGGTGTCATCGAGCTCCGCAACCAAAATGTCGACCTAGTCGAAATCCAAGGCACAGTTGAGGAAGTCACAAGAGACAAGGCACGGAGAGCAGCCGAAGCCGTAAGTCGTGATGCCAAAGAGAAAGTCTTCTACAAGTACTGACAATGTGATTGATTATAGGTACAAGGCCCCGTCCTAGTAGAAGACACATGTCTCTGCTTCAAAGCCATGAATGACCTGCCTGGCCCTTACATGTACGCTCACATTTCTTCTTATCTCATCTCATCTAGTCTCTCTTTCCATTTCCCCCTTCATGCTACAAAACCCAATATTCCACATTCTCCTCCTTCAAACCCACCCATCTAACCTCCCTCCCTAGCAAATGGTTCATGCTCTCCCTCGGCGCTCCCAACCTACACAAAATGCTCTCAGGCTTCGACGACAAATCCGCCCAAGCCGTATGCACATTCGGATATTGCGAAGGCCCCGGTCACGAAGCCATTCTCTTCCAAGGCCGTACCGACGGGAAGTTGGTGGAAAGTCGGGGATCTACTGTATTCGGTAAATCAGCAAATGCCCCTTTGCCTTCTAGTGTGTTGGAGGGTTGTGTAATGGAGATAGGAAGAGGCTAATAGTGTGTACATAGGTTGGGACTCATGCTTTGAGTACGAAGGTCAGACATACGCTGAAATGGACAAGAGCGAGAAGAACAAGATTAGCCATCGAGCGAAGGCGCTGGATAAGTTGAAGGAATGGTTGGCGAGCCAGAAGACTGGGGCGTAGAGCTCAATAATCATTATTGTGCTCTTACTTCTTAATGGAGAGTATCGGGTGGTGCATGAAGCCACCACACCCACCATCATCATCCCATAAATGCCATATTGGTATCATAACACATAGCGCATCACAAATATCCCACCCATCCGTCCATTCTCAGCACCCCACTCATCTTCTGCCCAACCCCCTACTCCTCCTGTCTATCCCTCCTCCACTGCTCAACCCACCGCTCCACCCTCTCCAGATTCCCCTCCACATCCTCATTACTCTCGCTCTTCAACTCCACCACAATCTCCTCTTTATAACTCTCCCTCGCCTCATCAAGCAGAACCTGCATAATCTCACTATCCATATTCTCCTCCAGCTTCTTCCCCTTGTAGCCGCGCGCGGTAAGACGGTCGTATAGTAAGGTCGAGTCGCAGCGCAACACCATGACGAGGTCGATCCAGCGCTCGGGGAAGAGGTCGCACGCGTGCCAGTCGAGGATGTAGCCGCCTTTGTCGGCGAGGGAGAGGGATTCTAGGTGGTCAAGCAGCTAAAGGGGTGGGGTTAGTGGTGTGGGTGATAGAGTTTGGGTGGGATGGGGTGGCCAGTGGCTATGCGTACCTTGTCTTCGTCTACAATCCAACTTCCTGTTTCTTCGTCTTTGCCCTCGTGGTAGCCTTCGTCTTTTACTATTTGGTTCACCGAGATGTGCTGGAATCCTGTTGCTTGCGCTAATTGCTCTGCATGTGTCGTCTTTCCTACTCCAGGTGTGCCCGTAATAACGATGTTGGGGTTTTGGCGCGCCATGGTGTTGTGGAGGCTCGTCGCAGAGTCGGTCGCGTGGAGAGATCGCGTAGGGTGTTGGGGGTTGCGCGGGCGGCGATGTATGGGATAGCCGAGTATATCCGATTCTCAGGTAGCAGATACGCTTTGCGCGGTAATTGGAGAGGAGTTTGAGGCGTCAGAGAGGTATAGTGTGGTGTAGCGTTCAAGTGCTCTGGCGCGTCCGATGATGTCGCATTCCAGAATTATTTTTCGACGCCCGAACTTCACCCGGCACAACCCCCACCACCCCGCACTACGCATCTTGACATGGACCCCCAAGGCAAGCACACGCACGACATCTCAGGCATGACGCTGGGTGCAAGGATATGTAGACAAGCAAAGCATATACGTCAGCTCTTGAAAGCGAGACGTGGTAGGCTACATAGCAAGGTGAGGCGACCGTTATCGCATAATCCTACCGAGGTTGAGCATCACACTAAATCATACAGGTCACGCTGACTACTACCCAAAAGTGAGGCTTCAAACTTTTCTTTCATTGACCCGTGACATGCGCTCAAGACTATTTACGCCGTCTAAAAAACCTCGTAAACATGACATGCCTGACCCAAGGAAACATGCTGCAAAACCCCACCTAGACAACGCCTTAGATGCTAGTGATCGTTGGTGGCAAGAATCCAGGAACCTGTTCGAGCAAATGTCTGGAGGGGCGGGAAGAAGTGGTGGGGGGAGGGGGAGAACTGAGTAGTTCTTAAGATATCTAGTCCAGAGAGAGCTCCAACCAACCATTGCCGAACGAACACCCCTGAACTCTTTTGATGCAGTATTACGCCGAGTAAGAAATCGTGAAGTGAAATATCAGACGCAGAGAGTCGTTTAAAAGACATCTCAGTGTGATGGAAGGCGACTGGGAGGCTAGCCTGGACCGAACATGCCGCTCAAAACGACTGGGGATATTGTGATCTGGGGAATGCGAGAGTTTTTGGTGCAGCATTTAGCTCTGCTTGCACTCAGCAGCCTCCTGCTTTGGTTTTGTGCCGTCGTTCTGATACTGCGTTAGATGGCTGTATTCTGTAGAGTGACTTGGACTGCTTACCTCGTCGTCTGACTCCTCCTCCTCATCGCGGTCATCGCTGAGCTCGTCCTCGTCCTCATCGTCCTCGTCTTCAAACTCGCCCTCGTCGAAGTCCTCAATGTTCTCGTACTGAAGAGCCTCGCCGGTGAACCAGTCAATGGCGCGGGGGATGAGCTTCTCCTTGATGTCCTCACCGAGCTGGTAGTCGAGTTCGAGACGCTCCTCAATATCGGAGGTGGCGTCGTCGTCGTCTTGTGGGGGCTTGGGTGGGTCGAAGAAGTTGAAGAACGACTCTGTAGGCACGGTCTTCTTAACGACGCGGGTCTGCTTGGTGTCTGAGAAAGTTAGTTGCTAGTCAAATACCGACAGATGTCAAGATGCTCACTCTTGTTCCTCTGCTTCTTGCTCTCGATGCGGACGGTCAGATCCTTGCCGGCCTTCCAGTCGACCTTGTCACCCTCGGCGTGGTCGTAGATGAAGTCGCCGCCGTAGCCGTTCTCCTCCTGGTAGAAGTAGGTCTTGGTGATGGTCTTGTTGGTGAAGAACTCGTTCTCCTCGAATTCGAAGATGAGGCGGAAACCGGGGCGGTCGAGGTACTCCATGCGGATGTCGGTCAGGTGCTTCAGAGCAGCCTCGTCGCGGTCTGTGATCATCTCGGCGAGCGAGATCTGGTTCTTCATGGCGCTGAGCCAGAACTCTGGGATACCCTTGACGTCCTTGCCCTCGTCCTTGTTGAGCTCAGCCTCGGGCTGGTCCTCATCCTCGTCGTCCTCGTCTACCTGCTCGCCGACCTTGACGCGGTCTTCTGAGGGCTCCTCGGCGCCGTTGACGATCTTGGCACGGGTCTGGTATAGCGGTGTGAACTTGGCGAAGTACTTCTTCTCGAGCTGCAGGACCTCCTCTTGGAACTCGGCCTCGAGCTTGGAGTGCTCCTTCTGGACGCCCTTGAGGCCGGCAACACGGCGGCGGACCGAGGCAGGCAGCGACTCAATGTAGCCGCTGGAGCGGCCGACGAGCGAGCCGAGCTTGTTCTGCATCATGGCGACGAGGGCGGGGTTGGCAGCGAAGAGACCGGCGGCAGTGCGCTCTAGTTCCTCTGCGAAAAAGCGAGTTAGCGGTCAAGGCCTTGACGAGAATACAAGGCGGGGTTGGAGGGGCAGGAGCGTGGCAGAGTGCGACGTACCTTCCTTGATGCTGCTGACGCCGGGCTGCTGGGCGCGCGACGATATGGGCGCGGCATTGGCGGGTGTGTTCTGGGGGGTGCTGGCAGGGCGCACGTTAGAATGTGGTACGTCCATGTTGGGGGTGTGTGATGGTGGTGTTTGGGCGAGGCCAAAATTGTGTGGCGGAGGGGAGGGAAGCGACTTACGGGGCGGAGATGGAGTCCATCTTCTTATTGCGGATCGGCTCAGACATCTTGGCAAATGAGTGATGTCGGACTGCGAGTGGCGAGTTGGGGTGCAAAAGGTGGATGTTGTGGGTGAGCCGCAGAATTGTTCGGCGGGCTGAGCGAGAAGAACAGGCGCTGGGCAAGGCAAGGTCGCCCCTCTACGGCACTAGTCACGCCTAGTGCGAATTCCAACCGGACACTGCGAGACGGCAACAAACAAAGCCTTTGCGACCACCGAGACTATCGACGCTGCCGTGGACGGGGAGAGATGCAGTGCGCGAGGCAGAGGCGGGCGGCGTGTCTATTTGTACCTTGACCGTCTTTTGGGCAGAGGCGTGGCACGTGTGCCCTGCCTTGCATCTCTCCGACACTGTAGACGGGCGATTCAAGTTTATCTGGCGGCGATACCTCACTTGCTTGTGCGCGCAGTAGTCTACCACGTCGACTGCCCTGCACCGTGGCCACGGCCGACCTTGCCCGCCGGTACTGGGAGAGGGGACATGGGGACATGGGGACATGGGGAGCGCATATTTTTCATTGCATTGGTTGACGAGCCTTTTCCTCCGACCTGCCCAAAGCCGGCCGGAAAATGCCCCGATTGAACTATTGCGCACACCGTACTTACACTGTAGGTGCTGTATACCGCCACGGCCGCCCTGGAGCGAATACGATCTCTACACACGTCCGATCAGCGTCAGCTTCGATTAGTAGCCACACCTGCCTTCTAGAACAAAGCGGGTCTCTGGAAAATCCTTAGCAAACCCTTAGCAAAATCTCTCTGGCTCCATCGCGCTTGCCTAAACTCAAAAGCGGAAAGCGCCCCTGGGCAACCACGGATGGCAGCATGCTGGGGGTGGATGTCACCAAGAGTCATGTTCTCTACTGGCGACTAGCGGCCTGTGCAAACACACTATTCCCGGCAGTTGCAATCGTCAAGCAAGAACTGAACCTTTTGACATGGACATGGCAATGATGCTTCTACAGTCTTCCCTGTATCCTCCCCAACCTCCTCGTAGCCACAACGGCCATACACGCCGAACAAGCCCCAATGAACAGACAAACCGCAATCGCATTCGGGCCATCCGTTTTGTGATGTTCCTCTGGCGGCGCCTCGCTCAACTCCGGGCTTTTCCCGGGCTCCAGGATGGAAAACACTACCCACGAGATCCCTGTGCCCATGAACTGAGGTAGCGTGGTATACAGATTCATGATGCCGAGGTATTGCCCTGAGCTTGCACCGCCGCTGGAGGAAGGCGCGCTGCCCTTTTCGAGGTTGGATTGCGCTTCGGGAAGGTCGATAGAGGTGCGCTTTGGGTGGGCGGAGTGCGAGGAGGAAGTGTTGAGGCGGTTGATTTCTACGCCGAGGAAGGCGAAGGGGGCCCAGCAGGCGACGGACCATGATCTGTGTTGTGTTAATCCAGGCTTCATGCGTGATGTGGTGATGGTGGTTACTTACACGCCACAGCAAGCAATGATGATGGTTGCGTGCCTCAAACTTCTCACAAAAGGTGCCATGACCATGCTTCCTGCAAAGATACAATGCGCAGTTGTCCACGCGGTAAGCAGGCTTGGTTTGTATTTCGCCAGTCCCGTTGACTGCTTAGGTGGGCGAGAGAAACCAGGACCCTTTTCGTCTTCTTCTGGGCTCTGTACGAAGAAAGGCAGGAGAACAGACATGACGAATGTGATGATGGAAAAGGCGATGAGGGCCATGGAGCCAATGCGGCCGACTTTGCCTGTGAGGTCACCCGCAGCTTTGACTTCTGCTGGGGCGTCGTATCGTAGGTATACTTCACCAACCCACGTGGTGCTGTAGAAGAGGAAAGGAAACCAGCCTAGCCACTGTCAGTTCTTGATCACAGAATCAATATAATAATGACATACCAATCCAAGCCCAGAACTGGACTGTGCAGATAGCCTGGATACTTCTAGGCAGATTCAAAGCAGTATGCACGATAGTACCGAGAACTTGCTTGAGATCCAGCTCCTTGCCCTCCTCCGCCCCATCATTAATGAGCACCCTCTCCGTAACAGCCCAGCTCGTTGTCCCAATCGCCAAGCAGAGCGTCAACGCCGCAACACCCGTCAACTGCTTGAACTGTGTATCTCCCAACATAGGTCCAAACACATTCTTCAGATCAATTGCTCCCGCCCCGTACCCAATCAGACTTCCGACCGCCACCATCCTACTCGCCCAACTACTGCCCATTTGCTGTTTCGCAATTGGCAATGTATCGACGACCAGGCCTCTGCAACTCCCCTGCACGGCATTGATAGCGAAATCAATACCGTATATACTAAACACCGCCACGTATATCGTTGCGCTCTTAGCCGCAGCCTCGTCTTTTATAAAGTACCGAACCACCTCTTTCGTCCAGCCCAGCAGCAGCAAGAACATAGCCACCAGTATCGTACCAAAGAACATGAACGGTCTCCGGCGGCCCCAGCGAGAGGTAGATCGATCCGCGACGACACCGACGATAGGTTGCATTATGAGACCTGAAAGCGGGCCGGCGACCCATACGAGGGATATCTTCGATTTCGTAAGCCCGAGTTCGAGGAGGTAGGGTGTGCAGTATGTCATTTCGACATTCCACGTGAACCTGCATGGTGCTTAGTACAGGGTGCAGGAAGAACTCGTGGGAAGCGGGGATTTACTGCAAGCCGATGAGCGAAGCTGTGAGCAACGCCATGCGTATGCTCTCAGTCGAGCCCTTGACTGAGGGTGTGCCCTGCCATTGCGCAACAGACGGCATCTTCCCCTAGGACTATCCTCGTCCTTGCACCGTGGCAGCAACGTAGGCGCAGTCGCGTGCGCAGCTCTCGGGGGTCTTCGCGTAGTTAGGGAAACGTGGAAGGGCGCATTGGGTAGCCGGATCGTGTGGTAGGATTTCGTATTACGTTCGCGTTATGCAGGGACTCGGTCGGGCCAGGTATCGATTAGAGAAACGCGCTCAATGCATCCACGTATGAGATGACAATAGGGTGGGAAAAGCAATAAGAGAGTTCCAAGGGAGTGAATGGAAGTTGGTATCTGTCTCGTGTCTAGGAGTCTAGTCTGAAGAAGGGAGAGTAAGGCGTGCAAAGGAGGAGAGACGTCGTCAGCTCCATGGCTTGGCCGTGTCGCTTGTCGAGATGATTACGGATGTCGGGATCGTGGAAAGGGCCAAACGGCGGCTGGATGGAGCTAGACCGTTAGACCGAGCGGGCCGTGTGGCGCACCCCCGAACGTCTGGTTCGGCGCATTTAGGACCGACGATGGTTGTGGAGCTGTTGCTCGTACTTCGTGTGTTGGCATCTTGTTCTACGTTTGCTCGCTGTGACTGTGTCTTCATGCGATGTGTTCGGCATGTGCGTCAGAATGATGATTACTGGGAGCAGGGTCTTTGCAAGCTAGCTCCTCTCACGGCAACAATATCCAAGGTTTCGGCAACACACTGATTGACTTTACTAGGACTTGCATTGCAGGAAATCAACTAATAAATTCGAAATCAAGATTTGAGCAGCGACAAAAGAAAACAAAGGAAACCACCGTCCGACGCAAGACTCAAATGTTAAACCACACCACATAATGAAAGTCCACCTGCTAACCCTTCCAGAAGTCCCTCGCATCCTCCTTCCCTTAGTTCGAGTCCCCGATGCTCAGTCCCGAGACATCCGGCACTTGGTCCTCCTCGATCACTGGGAACTGCTGTCTGACGATGACAGGCGCCTGACCCTCACCACGCTCCTCTAGTACTGCCCTCCTGATCTCGTACTTGCAAGTGATGTACTCATCCATAGTCCACTGAAAGTGATCAGAGAGATCAGTGATCTTATCCGCAATCTTCACACCACCACGTTGAATTGGCCGGGAATCCTTCTGTAACTCGCTCTCGAAGTAACCCCATTCGTAGGGATCCGCCTCGTCGATCATGTACTGATCAGACGTGTTCTCAACGGTCGGCTCGAAGTTCTGTAGCAGCCAAACAGCGCCAGACGTGTTATCCGAATTGATTACGACAACTAAGACCCAGTCTGTCGATGTCCATGAGAACTTTGACTTGTTTGGATTCTCGGGTAGTTTGCCGTCGTCCGACCAGTATTTCTCTTCAAGTGCATAGAGTATTCCTAGTTGGAGGAATACGAATCCAGTGGCATCGTTGCCCACGACGCTGTTGTTGGTGCTGGAGCTACCGGAATGGGAGGCGTTCGTATCGTCAGCGCGCATACTCGCGTCGTGATCCTTTGTCTCGTCTGTGTACTTGATCCTTTGTCCGCGGGGTAGGTTGATCGCAACGATGTCTTCATCGGCGAATTCGCGTGTGTCTTCCCAGTCGACTTGATCATCATCAGGCCATATTGTGGCATTCCTTGGGCTGAGTCGGTAACGCCAACCCTTGTGAGACCCCACGGGTATGTTGGGAGAGACACCTGCCCTGATCACTGCGTCCAGCTTTCTCATAGATGAATCATCTGCGTAGTTAGTGTGCGCGAGCGTCTTGAAGTAGTTCTCGGCCGTTCCAGGTTCAGGCATCTTCTGGCATCCCATGTCCTCCTTGTGCACCCACAGCCAATACTTCTCTATGCTTACAGCAGTCTGCAGTGCATTTTCAAGAAGTTCGCCGTCATCCTTGTATATGTCGTCAGGTGAAGGTTGGGTGTCGCGATCCTGGGATCGAAGCTTCTCTCTCTTCGCGAACGTCCTCTCTCGTATTTTGGCAAACTCGGCAGCTTCCGCAGGAGTGTAGTCCTTCGGCGATCGGAAGTTCTTATCTTGGTACTGCTTTCTAATCTCCTCGCTGATCTTGCGGCTCCTTTCAGCCTGAGTGGGCGCCATGATTTGTGTAGGTGTAGATGAATGGGGATTTTAGAATTAAAGTTTCGTGTGCGTATGATGTTCGCTGATTGAAGGCAACTGCGCTTGTATTTGTACTGGGCAAGAGAACGGGATCAAGTGGATCCACAAGCGTGGATGGGTGCCTAAGTAGTTCCATGGTTCGGGTCTGCACTTACCTACCCGTGTAGGTAATAGCCCTGGAGGTCTCTGAATGAGTCAACGCGTTTGCATAATGGCTATATACCAACGGTCACATGCTCTCTTTTTGGCCAAGCGAGACAACCTTGAGACTCCCTCACTTTGCGTGTGATCGCTACACCTACACGAACCAGTTGGTGACGCTGAACCTTTGCGCATCAAGCACATGAACTTGACCAGCATACTGAGGCTAAATTGTCTGAAGGCATTTATTGCGATTTTGGAATTATGGGCCACCTTGAATTTTGAGCTCTGTTAGGTAGACACCAGCCGTGACAAAGCATTGCGTCCAAGGTAACCACAGGTCGCACCACCATCCAGACACATCCAAGGTACCATCAACCAAACCAAACCACAGTTCCACTTCGTGGAAAAAGGATAGCCTGCATACTCAAATATTGAGGTCAGAACGGGCTGGAATAGACCCAGTAGTAATAGTCCAGTCATCCCAAAAATGAGAGACATCGACACGAGAGTACCTAGGTATGTCAGCATGACCGCAAGAGACATTTGAATCGAAAAAAAAACGCTGCACTGCTCGATGATCTCGAATACCCCTTACCTTCCCGCAAAGACACAAGACAACACCGCGGAGGTCTTCACCCAGATCCTGCCTATCAAGCCGTCTCCGAATCTGTCTACGTATCCCTCAAACGTACCCACGTTCCTCCGTATCTTGCATGATTTCCCGCATCGAAGGAGGCTACACGAAGGACATTGTCATACGGAGGTTTTAGCAGCGAATTGTAGAAGTAACCGTCAGCAGCTCTACTGCTGCATACTGTGAAACAAGGATGTTTAGGAAATAACACCTGCATTGCAATCATGTACTATGTCACTCAACTGCGTTGTGCGTGCATTTCGGCACCAGCACGTTCACCGAAGCAAATCCGTCAGCAGCTCAATCACCGTGTGCCTGGAAGTGTTGAAGTCGGTCCTCTCAATCACCTCAGCTCATCAACACCGCACACACAAGCCACACATAACACACGCATCCAATAAAAGTTAAAAAAGATATATCATTCGCGCAAAAGAACCCCAGCATTAAATACCCAACATCATCATGCGTCATACGCGCCCACTGAATCCTCCCCACGAAAAGTAAGTTAGTAATTTCGAAGCAAACACCCCCCTCCCCCCTTTCCATCCCTCCCAGAAGTTCCAGCAACTAGACCAGAAGACAGAAAGAAGAAGGACACAGCTTTGCTCCTAACAACTTTACAAACATTGGGAGTTCCCCATCATCATCATCTGCGGCGCTTACTTTCCTCCCGTTGTCGTCTTTCTCGTGCGCGCGTGTCGTTTCATGTGTCTAATACCAAATTTTCGCTCGCTGTGCTGACAAAAGATGCTAAAGTTCATGCTTCAATTCCTTCTTCAATCGTACCGTGGCCGTTCATTCCGTTGCCGTTCATGCCCATGCCGCCGGTGAGAGCCTGCATGGCGTCGCCGTTGCTCTGGCCGTTGGGCATGTCGTCGTCGAACTCGAGCTTCTCTTGCTGCGCAATGGCTTGTTGCGAGACGATCTCTGCGAGGCGCTTGAGGCGGGGGGTTTGCAGCCCTGTCGATTGTATTAGACGTGTTCCGATGGTGCGGTAGATGGTTGAGAGAAAATACTTACAGGAAGGCGTGTACGTCTCGAGTGCTGTTATCACTCTTGGCTCCGCGATTTCGTACGGGCCACTATCCTCCATGTCGACTGCGGTGAGGAGAAGAACGTCGCTCTTCTCCGTCACACGCGACGCGACGGCCTTCATGATCTCGCCGTTGATGGGCTGCTCGTAGTCGGCTACCAGGTACTGGTTCAGCAGCTTCTGGATCTGGTTCGGACTCAGCATCCAGCAGATGTCCTGAATAATCTCAATGTCGTTCAAAGTAGCCTTCTTCAGCTGGAGCAACTTGGTTGCTTGCATCAGATGCTCAAGTTGCAGTGTGCCCTCTGGCATGTCATGCGACTTGCACCACTCTTCGATACGGGTGATGTTGTAGTTGATCTGCAGACCTCGCTTCCATGAAAGGAAGTTGCGGCGCATGAGCAAGTCGTTGAAGGCAGTGACGCCCACCAACCTCAGCAACTCGGTGACACACTGTGTGATGATGGAGTCTTCCAAGTAGTAAGCCTTCATGGCCTTGTAGACGCTGTTGAGTAGGGTGAGTAGGTTGTCCATGCTGTAGGCAGGGGTGTTGCTGCCCTGGAGGAGCTTTCCAAGGAAACGGTTGCTCTCGTTGGTAACGAAGCCGGGCAGTGATTGCGATTCGATGATAGCAGGAATGATCATTTTGTGCAGCTTCTTCTTGAGTACCTTCATCCAGGTGTGGTAAATGTTGAACTCGAGACTCTCAAGATCATGCTTCACAATCTCCAGCAGTCTGTCGTACTCGTAGTTGTCGGTCTTCTGTTGCTCGTACCAGTCTTCAGCCAGGAAGACGAACGAGAGCATCTCGTGAACGTTCGACAACCAGAAGGCACCTGGGTTGATCGCGTCTTCAGCATCGTGCTGCATGACCTCTTGTTGGATCGACTGCATAACGTTCGCGAGGAAGCGCTCTGATTCCTTAACGAAACCGTTGTTCCACATTTCGGAGGTGACAAGGTTGATGAGGTAAGCTGGGAAGAGAACCTCCTTATCGGTAGGTGGGGGTGTTGTGGTGGGCGATGGGATCTTCAGATTCTTGATCAGGCCAAGAGTGACCTCATCATTCAGCATGTCCTCCTCGGCAAGGATGTTCTCAAGCTCAAGCTCGACGTTATCGAGCTGAGCAAACGTTGAGCCGGAGAGGTTTTGCCTGTGAATGGTGGAACCAGGAGCCATGGAGACAGGTCGCGGGTTGTATTGTTCGCTGAATCGGTTGATGTCGCGGGTGTCTGGTCCAGCACTGCGCCTCTTTGGCTTCTTCGACGAGACAAGCTTGATCAAGCTGCTGGGGGCTATGGCCGTGGAGTGACCGTTTGTCAGCTCACCAGGCATTGGGCCAGATCGCTTCATCAGTTCAACCTGCTCTTGCAGCTCGGCGAGTTGCTGGCGGAGCGACATCTTTTCGGTCTCAGTGACATTGCTCCTCCTCTTGGATTGCTCCAGGTCGTCTGTGGTCCTCTTAAGCGACGCACGGAGTTCCTTCTCCTCTTCTTGAAGATGGCGCATCTTTGCGGTGCTCTCTTCGTAGCTTGTCTGCAGCTTCTTGTACTCGTCTTCCATCTGGCTGAGCTTGGCAGCGGTGATACCAGCCTGGTTGGCCTCGGCTTGTAGCTCCTTCTGGCGGTTCTCGAGTGTACGGCTGCGCTCCTTGTACGATTTGATCTGGCTCTCGTAGTTCTCCACTTGAGACTTGAGCGACTTGTTCTGCTCCCTCATCGTACCCAGATTCTGGGTAAGCTCGACAACCTTGTTTTCGAGCTTGTAAGAGATGTTCTTGAGATCGCGAGATTCGGCGCGGAGGACCTTGTATTCCCTGCGGGCCTTCCTTCCCCTCCAGAGCTTCTGGACAGTGATGATGTCGTTGATCTCCTTCTTGTAGGCGCGGATGTATCTTTGTTTGCGCCAGTTGCGTTGGATCATGCGAGCAGCATCTCCAAGCCTCTTGTCCAGGATGTTCTTGCGGAGCAAGAATCCCTTTGCGGCTGCCTCAAACTTGATAAGCGAGTTTCGGACAACAAGGAAGCGCTTGCGGTCCTTGCTACCACGCCAGACTCTCTGGATGGTGGTTGCAGCCTTGACCTGCCTAGCCTCCTCGGCTCGTTCCCTGGTCATGTAGCCCCTAGCCAATGATTGCACGTGGATGACAGCCTCGCGCATCTCGAGGTAGATACGGCGGTAGTATTTGGCTCGGAGGTTCTTCTGAATCATGACGGCGGCGTCGTTGAGTCTGGCTGTACGCAAGTTCTCGAGGAACGCAAGCATACCAGCGCGGAAGAAGATCTTTGTCAAACCCATCTGGTACTTGTCGGTGCCATCGTTCTTGCCGGCACCTAGCGCCTTCTTCAAGATTGCCGTGGCCATGTTTCGGATTTCGGGCGTCCAGTCAGCTGATCTGACCAACATGTAGTAACGCAGGGCGAATTCCTCATAAGTCCATCGTGTGGGGTAACCGGCGCAACTGATCCTGACAGTTTCGAGAACACCACAAGCGCGCAATTGGCTGAGAACCATGGGTCCATCGAATTGCCAAGCAGCCTTGGCCTCGTTGGGCTTGATACATCGGATATAGTGGACGTCGGTTGAGTTGATGGTCTGCATGAGTTCGATGAGAGACGATTTGAAGATACCACCGAGTGTTGGCTTGCGGTTGGTTGCCATCCTTCGGCCAGCCGACATGGCAGTACCCGGCTTGGACGAAGCGCTAGTAGCATTCTCCTTCTCTCGGATCGACGCAGCGACGTCCAAGACTTGGGTCAAGAACTTATTGCTTGCAGCCTTGAGGACCTCCATGTGTTCGTCCGGCACAGTATCTCTGTTCTTCTCGATGAAGCCATCAGATTCATACGTGACATCGATGGCGTAATGGCAGACAGTGAAGGACGACTTGCCGAACCGGGGCTTCTTGTAGAATTTGTGCTTGTCTCCGGAGTAGTTGTGGTGTAGCTTAGTAACGAATTGCTCATCCGAACCCATAGGCAAGCGCGACTCTTCGTCTAGTAGAGACAAGATACCTAGCTTGCCTTCAATAAGATCGATACAAGGCTGGTTGTCGGCGAAGTCGATGAAAGTCCAGTCGATTTGTTCGCGCATGTACTCCTCCTGCTCCAGCTTGAAGACGTGTGCGTTAAACTCTTGTTGCAATTTTTCATTAGCGTAGTTGATACA